CCTCCAACCCATACATTTGTCCTTATTTCTGTAATTTCCTCCAGTGCCTGTGATCTTCTGAGATTCCTACATGCCTCTCATTCAGGCCTCTGGAGTGTCCCCTGATCTGAACCGCGGTAACACTGGTACGGCCTTGCCTTCCGCTCCCTGGGCCCTGAGCCTGAGCTACTGGGATTCTCTCCCTCTCTCCCTCTCTCCCTCTCTCCCCCTCCCCCTCTCTCCCTCTCTTCCCCTCCCTCGCTCCCCATGTATCTCTCTCTCCCTCACTTTCGTCTTGCAGCACGGTCTCTGAAAACCTCGGCCTGAACCTTTGTGATCTGCCTCTTGGGGGCCACGTCTTCAGACGCCCGAGATGCATCTTGAGACACTTGGCTGCGCTAAATGAGGGGTTTTTGCTGGACAAGGAGGGACAGGGACGGCCTGCGGTCAGCGGAGGGCTCTGAGTTGGGGGAGGAGGAAGGGAGAGTGGTAGCCTTTATTTTGAAGCCAATGGGTCTTAATCAGATGTAAACTCCCTTTTCGCGGCTGGAGTAGGCGAGAACGCAGGGTGAAGTTGACATCTTTACTGAGCAAGCTTAATTAGTCAGCACATGTCTGTGTAGACGTGGAATGTAAACTGAAAGGATTTGAGGTGCCCCACCCTGCTAACAGAGAGAGAAAATGCTCAGGTTAGAGGAACAACAGTTGTGTTTTTAATTTTACTAGTGAAATATAATTTTGTTGCCATGGTAGCAATCGCCAAGTTATCAGGAGCCAGAGAGGGGAGGATTCCTGTATCTTAACTAGGTAACTCGCACTCTCTCCCTCTCTCTCTCTCTGAGTCAGAGCCTATGGTTTGGGCCCCACCCTAACACACAGTTCAGGCAAATGAGGGAGAGCTGCACTGTCATGGTGGCCATCTTTATGATGAGAAAGCAAACGAGAGGCCTCTGGCGTGAAATTTTTTAAAATTCACTCATAGGATGAGGGCGTCGCTGGCCAGGCCAGCATTTATTGCCCGTCCCTAATTGCCCAGAGGGCATTAAGAGTCAACCACCTTGCTGTGGGTCTGGAGTCACATGTAGGCCCAGGCCAGGTAAAGATCGCAGGTTCCTTCCCTAAAGGACATTAGTGAACCAGATGGGGTTTTCCAACAATCGATTCATGGTCATCATTAGAATCTTAATTCCTGACTTTTTTTATTAAATTCAAATTCCACCATCTGCCATGGCGGGATTCGAACCCAAGTCTCTCAGCACGAGCATGTCATTGATAAAACCACTAGGCTATGGCCTGAACACCCCAAGGCAAGCATTGCTAGAACTGCAAAGGGGCATTCTCTCCTATATTTAACTCTCAATTTCAATTCCTTTCAATCAAAAGAAAAATTCGGTAGATGACCTGCTCCTGATCACACTGCTGGTTGTGGGATCTTGCTATGCACAAATTGGCTGCCATTTTGTAATTCTACCTCAAAACTACACCATTGTCTATAAAGCATTTTAGAGCATCCCGTTCTAGTGAAAGACATTGTAAGCTGTTATTGGAATTCTATCTTCAACTCTGGTCTCCCTGCTATAGGAAAGATATTGTGAAACTTGAAAGGGTTCAGAAAAGATTTACAAGAATGTCGGAGGGTTTGAGCTACAGCGAGAGGTTGAATAGGCTGGGGCTACTTTCTCTGGAGTGTCGAAGGCTGATGAGTGATCTTATAGAGGTTTATAAAATCATGAGGGGCATGGATAGGGTGAATAGTCAAGGTCTTTTCCCCAGGGTAGGGGAGTCCAAAACTAAGGTGCATAGGTTCAAGGTGAGAGGGGACAGATTTAAAGGGGCAACTTTTTCACACAGAGGGTGGTGCGTGTATGGAATGAGCTGCCAGAGGAAGTAGTGGAGGCTGGTATAATGACAACATTTAAAAGGCATCTGGATGGGTACATGAATAGGAAGGGTTTAGAGGAATAAGGACCAAATGCTGGCAAATGGGACTAGAACAATTTAGGGTATCTGGTCGGCACGGACGAGATGGACCAAAGGGTCTGTTTCCGTGCTGTACAACTCCATTGGCTCATGAGATGTGGGCCAACATTTGTTACCTAGCCCTACCTGCCCTTGAGAAGAAGGCGTTTGGGCACTTTATTCAACTTCTGCAGCCCATGTGCTGTAGGGACACCCTGACAGTGCTGCTAGGGAGGGAGCTCTGGGATTTTGAGCCGGTGACACAGCAGGAACGGCCAGTATAGCTCCAAATCAGGACCATGTGGCGGTTCCCATACCTTCACTACCCCTGTCCTTTGAGGTAATAGTTTCATAGGGTGCTGTCAGAGAAGCCTTGGTGGTGTGTCTAGCAGATGGGTACGTGGCAGTGGAAGGGGTTAATGTTTAAGCTGGTGGATCAAGTGGGCTTGCTTTGTCCCTGAACGGTGTTGAGGCTCTGACATGCTGTCGGAGCTGCGCTCAGCCAGGGGCTTCCACCTCACTCCTGACTTGTGCCTTTGGAGAGTTCGGGAGGTGAATTCCCACAACATACCCAGTCTCTAACTTGCTTTTGTCACCACAGGGGGAAGCAATGGCCTAGTGGTATTACTGCTGGGCTGTTAATCCAGAGACCCAGGTGACCCGGGTTCGAATCCCACCACGGCAGAGCTGGAATTAAGATTCTAACGATGACCATTGTTGGGGAAAAACCCATCTGGTTCACTAATGTCCTTCAGGGAAGGAAACTGCCATCCTTCCCTGGTCTGGGCCTACATGTGACTCCAGACCCACAGCAATGTGGTTGACGAGATGGACTGAAGGGTCTGTTTGCGTGCAGTACAGCTCCATGGGCTCTACTGGGGGTTCGCGAGATGGGCAACTAGAGATGGGGCAATAAATGCTGGCCTGGCCAGGAAGGCCCTCATCCCCGTGAAGGAATAATGAATGACCAGTCCATAGTAACCAGGCAGTGATGGTAATGCCCATTGAGTGGTCAAGGGGTGATGTTTGGGTTCTGTCTCATCGAAAATTATCACATGGCATGAATGTTACTTGTCAGGCTGAGCCTGGATACTGTTGATATCTTGCTTCACACAGACTGCTGCTGTACTCAAGGAGGGGTGAAAGGTGCTGAGTTTCATGCAGATATTAGTAAACATCTTCACGTCTGAGCTTATGACGGAGGGAAGGTCATTGATGAGGCAGCTGAAGATGGCTGGGCCTAGGACACGGCCTTGAGGAACTCCTCAGAGATGTTCTGGAGCTGAGATGACTGACCTCCGACAACCATGACCATCTTCCTATGCGCCAGGGACGACTCCAACCAGTGGAGAACATTGTGGTGATGAAGAAAGCACAACACCTTTATTTTCCCCAGAAGGCTAAGGAAATTCAGTAAATACTCACCAACTTTTACAGATGCACCATAGGAAGTGTTCTATCTGGGTGCATCAAGGCTTGGTACAGCAACTGCTCTGCCCAGGACTGTAAGAAACTACAGAAAGTTGTGAACGCAGCCCAGTCCATCGCACAAATCATCCTTCCATCCATTGACTCCATCTACACTTCCCCCTGCCTCAGGAAGGCAGCCAACATCATCACAGACCCCCCTCCCCCCCCCCCCCCCCCCCAGTTATAATCTTATCCACCCTCTTCCATCAGGCAGAAGATACAAAAGCTTAAACTCACTGGTTCACGATCAGCTTCTTCCCTGCTGTTATTAAGCTTCTGAATGGATCCCTCAAACTTCAAATCTAATGTTGATCTCGCTCTCTGTTGCCCCTTCTCTGCAGATTCCTCGCTCTGTCCTATTACCTTAACGATCTTTGTATGGTATGACCTGCCTGCACTGCACGCGAAACACAACTTTTCACTGTGCCCAGGTACGCGGGACAGTAATAAATCCAAGCGAAAGCTTTCCACCCGACTTAGCGTGGTTTCTGAGGGCTCCTTGATGTTTCTCTCAGTCAGGTACCACTGTGTCAGTGAGCAGACAGTCACTGCACAAGTGTCTCTCAATCGTAAGGTCTATGATACTTTTCCATCACTTCGCCGATGATCAGGTTTAGGCTGTTGAGGCGATAATTGACTGGATTGAATTTATCCAGATTTTTTTTCCTGTGGATTGGAATGTACCTGGGCAATTCTCCACGCTGCCAGGTAGGTACCCATGCCATACATATGGTTCACCAGCTTGGCTGGGGATGTGTCTGGTTCTGGAACATGTCTTGACAGTATTATTGCTGGAGTGTTGGCACAGACAAAGACGTTGTGAAACTTGAAAGGGTTCAGAAAAGATTTACAAGGATGTTGTCGGGATTGGAGGGTTTGAGCTATAGGGAGGGGCTGAATAGGTTGGGGCTATTTTCCCTGGACTGTCAGAGGCTGAGGGGGTGACCTGATAGAGGTTTATACAATCCATGAGGGGCATGGATAGGGTGAATAGCCAAGGTCTTTTCCCCAGGGTAAGGGAGTCCAAAACTAGAGGGGCATAGGTTTAAGGTGAGAGGGGAAAGATTTAAAAGGGACCTGAGGGGCAACTTTTTCACACGGAGGGTGGTGCGTGTGTGGAATGAGCTGCCAGAGGAAATGGTGGAGGCTGGTACAATTACAACATTTAAAAGGCATCTGGATGGGGACATGAATAGGAAGGGTTTAGAGGGATATGGGCCAAATGCTGGCAAGTGGGAGAGATCAGAGTGGGATATTTGGTTGGCATGAACGTGATGGACTGAAGGGTCTGTTTCTGTGCTGTACGACTTTATGCCAATCCTCCCCCAATCCAATTCATTGTCAATGAGACCAAATGGGCTAGCACAGGGTAAGTGGGCCAAAAGGCCTCTGTTTATAGACCTGTTACTGACAAATCTGCATGGGACTGTATGTTATTCACCTCCCCTCAGGTCCCTGGCTGCCCTCCAGCGTTCAGGGTAGCTATCTGATCTCAGGGGGAACCTCACCGCTCTCTCTGGTCATCTTGGCCGCACTCAACAGGTTGGAAGATATCGTTGCATTTCCTCTGGTGTTTTCCTTTCTCTCTCCAGTCAGCCCATTCGCCAACAAGCTAAAGAAGATGCGTCTACAACGAGAGGACTTTGAGATCCTGAAGGTCATCGGGCGCGGGGCTTTCGGGGAGGTGAGGACATAGGGTTGGGGGGTATTGGTGGGGGACGAGTACCCAGCGATAGTGAGAGATAACAGCAGTGCCCCAAGCATTGTTGAGAGCAACCTCTGGCCAGCGATGCTGAGTTATCCTTGAACCCAGACAGACAGGCAGATGGACACTGTGGAGGGGTGAACCACACACAGGGTGTAGGAAGTCTAGGTTCACTAACAAAGGTGTCTATTATACAGCAGGCTCTGGCAGTTTCAATGCAGATTGATATCAGGGAGGAAATGGCTTCGATTTACTTTCAGATCGACTGCCTGATCCTGTTCTGAATTACAATGCAAACTAAATACTGATCAGCAGCTGGAGATAGAGCAACACATCCTCACTCCTGTTGGTTTCATTTGTCTCTCTCGACATTGTATCACTCTGCTTATCAGTGTCTCTCTCTCTCTCTCACTCTCTCTGTCTTCCTTCAGCCCTCCCTCACCCTTTCTCTCTCATCTCTCTTTATCTGTCTTATCTCCTTCTCTTTCTATTGTGGTACAGGCTCCCATACACACACACTGACTCTCACTGGGGTACGGGCTCTCTCGCTCGCTCTCTCTCTCACACTCACACACACACAGACTCTCACTGGGGTACAGGCTCTCTCTCTCGCACATACACACACATGCTGACTTTCACTGGGGTATGGGGTCACACACACAGACACACAGACACACACACACACACACACAGGGGTACAGGCTCTGTCTCTGTGTCTCTCTCTCTCTCACACACTCTCACTCACTCACTCACACACACAAACTCTCACTGGGGTACAGGCTCCCACACACACACACACTGGGGTACAGGCTCCCACACACACACACACTGGGGTACAGAGTCTCTCTCTCTCTCTCTTGCTCTCTCTCACACGTCGCCATAGTTGAACCTGCCTTAGTGCTGACGAGGACGAGGTGGGAGGTCAGTTGCGGAGTTGGGGGGTTACTTGTTAACATGTAGCTGAGACCAAACCTGGTCCTAATTGTCCTGTGTCCATAACACGATCTGTGTGGCCTATTGGGTGGGGGCTATGGTTTGGGGGTTTGTAGAAGTGTTTAAGACGATAACCATTCTCTCTTCCAGGTGGCTGTGGTGAAACTGAAGAATTCAGAGAAAGTATTTGCCATGAAAATTCTCCATAAGTGGGAGATGCTGAAGAGAGCGGAGGTCAGTAACTACGGTGACAGCTGCCCCCTACAGAAAGGCCCAGGAGAGGCACTGCCCCGTTGGCCTAGGGTCGGGCAACATTCAACCACGTCCGGCCCTGTACCACTCACTCGCTGTCCCTACACTCCCTCGGCCTCGGCCTCACCCTCACCCTCCCCCTCACCGCCCCACAACATGCCCGCCCTCGCCCTCTCCTGCACGCCCTCGCCCTCGCTCACACTCTTTTGCGCACTCAGCTCCTCAAACATCCATCACCATGCATGCCTGATTTAATTATTTCACATTCCCTCCTGCCCCCAATAACCTTTCACCACCTCGCTGGTCAAGAATCTATCTATGCCTGCCTCAAAAAGACTGCTTCCACCATCCTGTTGGGGGAGAGAGTTCTAAAGATTCACGACCCTCTGTGAGAAAAAATTATTGCTTCATTGACTTAAATGGGTGTCTCTTCATTTGAAATGGTGACCTCCCCCCACCAAGTTCGAGATTCTTCCACAAGAGGAACCGCCCTCTGTGACTCCACCTAGTCAAGAACCCTCTGGATCTTGTATGTTTTAACAATGTCACCTCTGATTCTTCTGAACTTGGGTCAATACGAGCTAAGTCTGTCCAACTTTTCTGAATGAGATAAGCTGCCCATTCCAGGTAGTAGTCTAATTAACTTATTCTGAACTGCTTCCAATGCAAACAAATCCATCCTGATGCAAAGGTGTAAATAGTATGTTGGCCTTCGTAGCAAAACTATTTGATTACGGAAGCAATAATGTCTAACAGCCGTTGTGCAATTCCTGGGTGAAACAGCGCCTCATAGACTCATACACATGGACAGCACGGAAACAGACCCTTCGGTCCAACTCGCCCATGATATCCTAAATTAATCCAGTTCCATTTGCCAGCATTTGGCCCACATCCCTCTAAACCCTTCCTATTCATGTACCACCCAGATGCCTTTTAAATGTTGTAATTGTACCAGCCTCCACCACTTCCTCTGGCAGCTCATTCCATACACGCACCACCCTCTGCGTGAAAAAGTTGTCCCTTAGGTCCCTTTCAAATCTTTCCCCCTCTCACCTTAAACCCATGTCCGTGGATGGGAGGTTGGTTTGTGTGATGGTCTGGGCTGTGCCCACAACTGTCTGTAGTTTCTTACAGTCCTGTGCAGAGCAGTTGCCGTACCAAGACATGATGCATCCAGATAGAATGCTTTCTACAGTGCATCTATGAAAGTTGGTGAGGGTTCTTATGGAAATGCCGAATTTCCTTAAGGAAATTAAAACTAATGCAACAACCATCTCACTCGTCTTTTCTTTTAGGCTAGAGTAGATGAAGTCTATCAGAAGCTGAGGCCTTGCCAAATTGCAGCTCCAAATATGTGTTCAGTAAATTTCCTATCCCCATTCCAGTCTCCATGTTTGTGAATATCCCCAGTTGTAAGCTATGTGGTTAATTTACAGACAGCCTGCTTCCGAGAGGAGAGGGACATACTGGTAAAAGGTGACAGCCAGTGGATCACAACGCTACATTATGCCTTCCAGGATGAGCAGTACCTGGTGAGTCTCGAGAGAGTCAGCTGTGGAGGGGAGAGGGAACCTTCACAGGCGAAGGCGAGGGTCTTAGGCAGATATTGGCCAGAATCAGTAAGGTAGCTCTCTCTCTCTCCCTCTCAAACTGTCGGAGGGTCAGTGCTGAGGGAGCGCCGCACTGTCGGAGGGTCAGTGCTGAGGGAGCGCTGTGTTATTGGAAGTGAAGTCTCTCAAGGCACAGTTACCCCTGAATACCCTCAGAGGGAGATAGAAAATATCCCTGTGGCTGCTATTGGAAGAAGAGCAGGGGATAGGAGGGGAATGGTCACCCTGATGCCCTGGGCCCAATATTTATCCATAAACGTAACATCATTTCAAACAAAAATGAGATAACACAGTGTGGAGCTGGATGAACACAGAGGGCCACGCAGCATCAGAGGAGCAGGAAAGCAGACGTTTCGGGTCGGGACCCTTCTTCAGACCCTTTCTGACCCGAAACGTCAGCTTTCCTGTTCCTCTGCTGCCTGGCCTGCTGTGTTCCTCCAGCTCCACACTGTGTTATCTCAGATTCTCCAGCATCTGCAGTTCCTACTATGTGAAACAAAAATGATTTGTTTGTGGGAGCTTGCTGTGTACAAACTGGGTGCTATGTTCCTGACATGACAACAGTGATCACTTTGAAAAAGATAAGTAATTGGCTGCGAAGCATTCTGGGCTGTCCTGAGCTGCTGAAAGGTGCTATACAAATGTAAGTCGTCTTTTCTGTGAACTGCAGCTCTTGAAGTGCCCTCACTATAGAGTGTTACTTTCTCCCCCAGTACCTGGTCATGGATTATTATGTGGGAGGCGACCTGCTGACCCTGCTCAGTAAATTCGAGGACCGACTTCCTGAAGATATGGCCCGTTTCTACATCGCTGAGATGGTGCTGGCTATTCATTCAATCCACCAACTCAACTATGTACACAGGTAGGTGGGCTCCCTCTACAGCTATTCCCCCCCCCACCCATCACTATTCCTGACTCCCCAAAGCCTGTCCTCCATCGACAAGGCACAAGTCAGGAGTGTGAGGGAATACCCCCCACTTGCCCCTGGATGAGTTCAGCCCCAACAACACTCAAGAAGCTCGACACCATCCAGGACAAAGCAGCCCCCGCTTGATTGGCACCACATCCACAAACATCCCACTCCCTCCCCCCACCGACGCTCAGTAGCAGCAGTGTGTACCATCTACAAGATGCTCTGCAGAAACTCACCAAAGATCCTCAGACAGCACCTTCCAAACCCACCACCACTTCCATCTGGAAGGACAAGGGGCAGCAGACACATGGGAACACCACTCCCCTGCACGTTCCCCTCCGAGCCACTCACCGTCCCGGCTTGGAAATATATCACCATTCCTTCAGTGTCACTGGGTCAGAATCCTGGAATTCCCTCCCTCAGGACATTTGTGGGTCAACCCACAGCACATGGACTGCAGCGGTTCAAGAAGGCAGCTCACCCCCACCTTCTAAGGGAACAACTAGGGATGGGCAAGAAATGCTGGGCACAGCCAACGATGCCCACATCCCACAAAATGAATACAGAAAAAAAACTCCCAGGACAGGGACAGCATGGGGTCAGATACAGAATAAAGCTCCCTCTACACTGTCCCCCCCATCAAACACTCCCAGGACAGAGACAGCACGGGGTTAGATACAGAGTGAAGCTCCCTCACACTGTCCCCCATCAAACACTCCCAGGACAGGGACAGCACAGGGTTTAGATACAGAGGAAAGCTTCCTCTACACTGTCTAAAACATACGAACAAGCCAAAGAGTAGGCCACTCGGCCCTTCCAGCCTGTCCCCCCCCATTCATGGCTGAACTGATTTAAACCTCAACTCTCCATTTCTCGTAAACTCCTGACAATCAACCGTTTCCCTGATCATCAAAACGCCTCTCTACCTCTGGCTTAAAAACATTTGAATACTCTGCATGCACTGCCTTTTGAGAAGGTGAATTCTCAGCTCTCGAGAGAGAAAATATATTTCCTCATCTCTGTTTTAAATTACTTTGATGTGGAGGTGCCGGTGTCGGACTAGGGAGGACAATGTCAGAAATCACACGACACCAGGTCACAGCCCAACAGGTTTATTTGAAAACACAAACTTTCGGAGCCTCGCTCCTTCTGCAGGGTGTCAGTGAGAGACGCAGTATCAGCAGTGGTCTGACCCTTTGATATTTTGCTTGTAAATTCTGTGTCTGATACTGTCTCCCACTAACACCTGAAGAAGGAGCGAGGCTCCGAAAGCTTGTGATTTCAAATAAACTTCTTGGGCTATAACCTGGTGTCGTGTGACTTCTGATCTTAAATTACTTTGAAACAGTGACTCCAAGTTCTCGATTCTCCCACAAGAGGAAACATCCTTTCCACATCCAACCAGCCAAGTCCCCCTCAGGGTCTTCCATGTTTCAATGAAGTCACCTCTGACTCTTCTAACCTCCAGAGAATACAGGCCCAGCCTGTCTGACCTTTCCTCGTTCCAGGTATTAGTCTGGTAATACTTCTCCGAATGGCTCCAACCACATTGACATCCTTGACCTTGATCAGATGGGCCAATGGGCAGAGGAGTGGCAGACGGAGTTTAATTTAGATAAACGTGAGGGGCTGCATTTTTCATAGGGCCAATCAGCATTGGACTTATACATGTAATGGTAAGGTCCTGAGCAGTGTTGGTGAACAAATGGGACCTTGGAGTACAGGTTCATAGTTCCTTGAAAGTGGAGTCACAGGTAGACAGGGCGGTGAAGAAGGCGTTTGGTACGCTTGCCTTTATTGGTCAGTGCCTTGAGTAAAGGAGTTGGGAGGGTCATGTTGCAGCTGTATTAGTGACGCCACTTTTGGAATACTGCATTTAATTCTGGTCTCCCTGCTATAGGAAGGATGTTGTGAAATTTGAAAGGGTTTGGAAAAGATTCAACCAAGGGTGTTGCCAGGGCTGGAGGGTTTGAGCTATAGGGAGGGGCTGAATAGCCTGGGGCTATTTTCTCTGGAGCGTCGGAGGCTGAGGGGTGACCTTATAGAGGTCTATAAAATCATGAGGGGTATGGATAGGGTGAATAGTCAAGGTCTTTTCTCCAGGGTGAGGGAGTCCAAAACTCGAGGGCGTAGGTTTAAGGTGAGAGGGGAAAGATTTAAAAGGGACCTGAGGGGCAACTTTTTCACACAGAGGGTGGTGCGTGTATGGAACAAGCTGCCAGAGGAAGTGGTGGAGGCTGGTACAATGACAACATTTAAAAGGCATCTGGATGGGGACATGAATGGGAAGGGTTTAGAGGGATGTGGGCCAAATGCTGGCAAATGGGACTGGATTACTTTAGGATATCTGGTCGGCATGGACTGGTTGGATCGAAGGGTCTGTTTCCGTGCTGTACAGCTCTAAAGGCAGTCTCACCGATGCCCTGTATAACTGATGCATACCTCTTGCAGTCAATTTGCCTTCGCAATCAATCCCAAAGTTCTCTTTGGTTTCCCAGTTACTTGCTGTATCAGTGCACTAACCTGACCGTGGCCCGGTTCCAGATGGAGCATCCTACCGTCCCTCGTTAACCAGGATGGCTGCCCATTCAGTCATGAATTGAGGGGAGATTCCCAGTGTGGACAAAGTGTGGCTAAAGAGGCATCGAGATCCTTTATTCCTTGGTTAATCCCTTCAATCTGGGATGGATGCCAGCTTGAACGGCTGTAATTTCAAAAATCGAAAGGCGATCTTATTGAACAAGGCAGAGTCGGAGGGGTCTTTGACAGAGCAGAGAAGATATTTTGGGGGAGTTCTGCACCCAGGAGGCATTACTTCCCCCCGAGGGGTCTTCCTTATAAAATGCAGATGAGGAAAAGCCTCCTCAAGAGGGTCATTAGTCTGCAGAGCTCCTTATGTGTGTGAGCAGTTAAGGCTGGGTGATTGAAGGAAGTGTTAGACTGGGTGGGATATTAAAGGGAGTGGGGAGTGAGGGG